TCATATAAACCCTCTGCTACCCATTTTGTGATGGTGAATCTTGTTCAATAAAAAGACTAAATAAAACATAAGCAAAATAATATATTTAAAAAAAATTCTTGTTGACATGAAAAAACTGAATATTTACAATGTAGAGAAGCTTCTTTTTCTTGTACCAGGCAATGTTCAGGGATTAAAATTTAAACAAAAATCAAAATTAAACAAAATGAATCGAAAAGATAGTACCTTAAATATTTCACTATGGCACAAAATAGTAAAATTTAATACCTCTTTATGTCAGAGCACTCCTTTCCGGATTGAGGCTTTCCTTCATCTTACAATGTGCTTGCGATGTTCGTCCCTTCTCTTCCACAGTGCAGATTCCTTTCTTCAAAACGATCATCACAAATATTTGCAGTTGTAATTATCAAATAAAATTAATTTAAAAAATCAAGTAAATAACGTGTTCTTTTTCTATTTTAAACTTATTTTGGTGGCAATATTTACTAAAATAGAAATAGAAATTTACATATTTTTTGAGAGGGACGTTTTTTCTTAAACCTGTCTGAAAATAGGATTGAATTATTTTGGCGGTTTTAAAAATAGACCAACGGAGTCTTGATGTTGCTCGAAAACGGAATTTCTAACAGACGAATTATAGTAGAGATAATCTTACTATTCCAGTTTATTATCTTTTATATAAATTACCGGTGTACAAGGATTTATTATTGATTCATATTGGGTCAGCCCGTCCGTGAACAGTGTGGTTAAAAACCGACAAGGAAGTATTTTGTATCTGGTTTAAAGACCTTCTGTGTACATATAAAAAAGGCGGTGTTTGTCAACGATTTACAAACAATTGTATTTTGTTGTTTCGCGTACTCCACATTCGATTTGGATTAAATCCAACTGGGTTACAACGGCGATGCTTGTTCGCCCTTTCAATGCTGAATATATTTACGTTGTGTGGCATTGGTATTCCAAAGTTCTGGTACTCTGTTGAAAAGAATTTTTTTCGGAAGTGATTCTATAAAATTTGTAAAAAAAAATTAACTATCTGGGTGTTCCGTTTTCACATTCAGCTAAATTCTCACAAGCCAGTAAATATTTCTTAGGGAAAAGTTCTATAGCGACTCATTCGTTATTAAAATTGCGTAAAAGTGATTATTAGGATTCAAAGTACATGCTGTAAACTCTATCCCGCAAAGTATGCACCTATACAGGGTGTCCAAGCTAATGCGCATTAGCTTGACACCCTATATACAGTATTTTGAAAGCGTCTAAAAAAAATTCAAATTTTACACCTCACAAGAAACCTCTCGACCCGTACACCAGGTTATAATGTTGGAGGGTCCATTCAAAATTTAAAATGTTTAAAAAAATGCTTGGCTGGTGGCGGACATGTTTGCAAATGCCGGACCACACTTGGCCAAGCAATATTACCTAAATTTGTTTAATTTAGTTAATTTTTAGGAAATTATTTCTTTCTTATATGAGAAAGGCATGAGCATATATAGTTTAGCCTCAAGGTTTGAAATTAGTTGAGTAAATTATGAAAATTTGATTGAGTAATTTAAAAATAATCTAATCCGTCTAGATGTAGAGTCTGCTTTGTATAGTCGATATACTTTAATTGGAATGAGGCACATTTCATAATATTAACCAATTGCACAGCTCCGTTTAGCGAATAAAAATATTCGCAGTATTTATTTTAACAGAAAAAAATTTAAATTCACTTTGGATAAAATGTGTGCCTTATGCACCTGTATACCTCCTGATACACTTTTTAATAAACCGTGTCTTGCGTCCTTTAGATCAAAATATTTCTTGCAGTTGTTTTTTGTTTTTTCAACAGGTCTATCGTGGACCCCCTATGCCATACCTTGGAAATGCGCTATTCCTTATAAAACTGAGCACTCCCCTTGTTGCCTCTTCGTGGATCTCTTTGGTTATGAGAAATTCCTACCGAAGTGGCTGTACCTTGAACGGGCTAATGTTTTACATTCTCAAAATGTACCCATGTCTTTGGTTCCTCCTGACAGAGCCGGCATGTTTTCGTCTCAGCCTTGTCCATATTTTTAAAGTGATACTTAAGAGGGCAATGGCCTGTATAAAGGCCAATAATCGTGCTCAAATCCTGCCTGCTGAGAGAGAGCAATTTTTTTCGTTTTATGTTTTGAGATGTGTATAAATCTATTAGCTTGTCTCATATCTGCAATGATTTTCGAATGTTTGAGTTTTCCTTCCATTTTTCCAGTTCCAACTTAAGCACACACTCCAGAGTACTTAGTTGTGGTTCTGGTACCATAGGTAAGAGAGTTGCTCCTTCATGTCCGGGAACCCACTTTATGGTTGTTTTACTTTCCCAGAGTCATTAGGCAGTTTAGGCACTCCCAGACAATTTTTTGATAGTGTCCATCCTAATTTTGCGGAACTTTATGAATAGGAAATAAATTGTCTTTTCCATACTACTGTGGAAAAGACAATTTATTCCTACACATCAACCCACAGACAAGTTTGGAGTTGAAAGCATATGCATTTAGTTTTGTATTGCATGGGCTTCAGCTTGGAAAGTCGTTGAGGTTAGTCAACGACTTTTGCTAAGGTAAAGTTCGGCCCTTTTATGCATGCAGGCTTAGAAAGCGTGATATTACTAGATTAAAATTCTACTAACTTGAAAAACAAACCCATCAACCCCAGACAAGTTTGGAATTGAAAGGATATGCGTTTAGTGCCTTTATGGCCACCTGGCACATCGTTGTATTGCATGGGCTTCAGCAACGGCTTTTGCTAAAGAAAAGTTCGCACCTTTTGTGCATGTAGACTTTAAAAACGTGATATTACTAGATTTAAATTTTGCCGACTTTGAAAACAAGTTACATGACATCGTTGTGTTGTGTATAGAAAAGGCTCTTTACAAGTTAAGTGTTATTTGATTTTTTTTTCTTTTTGATGTTTTATGATATACGTATACACATTTAATGTAATTTCAATTTAATGTTCCTCTTGTTGTATGTCTTATTTTAGGTTTGCTTTATTGACATATTATGTTGTATTAAACCAACTTCCTCTATATGGCATAATTAGCTGTAACAGAGTAATAATAAATAAATATTATATTTACGTTGCCTTTCAATGGGTGACTGGGTAAAATTCTGGACGTTGTTTTCACACCGTGAGAGAGAAATTTTAATGATTTGGAATCTAAAAAGAATCCTGAGAGACGATGGGCTAACTGCACGGAAAGGGAATGGCAGTAATGCGCATTGTCCTTCCATAACAAAAGACTATTGTCCGGGTAGAAACTCGAAAACACGTTTGAATAACTCGGCCATGTGAGGGACAATTTAAAATTTAGTTTACAATTAGTGCTAAAAAAATTGTAAAATTTTAGTTTTGCGTTATGATCATCGCTGGTGTTCTCCAGGAATAATCATAACAAACCATTAAATATTGACAGTAAGTTTACGATTTTTGATTAATTGATTTAACTACCTGGCACTGTCTGTCGAGCGTACAGTCCGTTATTCTTAACTTGAATATATCCTCATAAATTTATAAGAATTTAATTACAGGAAGACAAATGAGATACATCGGTTTAGCTTCGTCACTGTTTCTTGGAGACGCGTTTTGATTGAATTGGAATTGATTTAAGTCGTCTTCTCGGCACGTTTTAAGTGATTTGCCCCTGTTAACCGATAATCAAATAAAATCCCTCAACAAATGCCCTCATCCTGATTAGCCTTAGGAAGGTCAATTTTTTCCCTTTTTATTTTTTCTCTTTACTTCACCGTGATGGAACTGTGGATCTTTTAAACTCTATTGATTTCCATGTAGGTGTGCACGATTTAATACTTGCTTTCAAATTTTCTTCTCAACAACTAAAGATAAGCTTTTTATGCACCTCTTTTGTAAAAATATTGTTATTACTGTTATCAATTAAAAGGATAAAACGCACAATCCTCGCAGGATTTAAAAAATAATGAGTCGTCAAAGATTGGAAATAAATTATTTAAATTCATAACGTAAATTTTAAAAAAATAACTCCATTAAATTTCGTGATCCGATTGACCAAATAACTTCTTTCAATTAATTAGTATTTATGTGAGGTATTGGTCGAAATAAAAAAGGTAGTGTGACGAGCGGGATTCGAACCCACGACCTTCGCTCTACCACTGAGCCATCGTGACTTCGATCCACTCGGACACCAACTCCTCATCTGAACCAAGCTTTCAAATTCTCCATTTCATTTGTCGCCGAGAATCGAATCCTGATTACACGACATTTAAAAAATGGCAAAAAGTCGGGGAAATTCGAAAGGTAGGTCAAGATGGGTAGTTGGTGTTCGAGAGGATCGCAGTCACGATAGCTCAAGTGGTAGAGCAACGGCATAATTAGCTGAAGGTCGTGGGTTCGAATCCCGCTCGTGACAGTAACTTTTTCATTTCAACCAATACCTTACTTAAAGATTAATAAAAAATAACATTTTTATTGGAGGTCAATTGTCCCCTTTCAGCCATCTCTGTTTGCAATCACAATAGTAATTAGAATAACAAATTCCATCTTCCAATGCGTGAAAAAAATAAAGATTGTATCTGTATAATATTTTTCTTTGGTTAGCCTAAAAAATTATTATTGTGACAAAGTATTTTTACATAAATTAGATGTATATCATTTAAATGTGGAGTCTGATTTTAAAAAACCTACTAATTAGCTTAAATAATTTTAATTTTATACTCAGTACCACTCAATTTTTGATCAAGATGATTTTTTCTCGTAATTAATAATTCTATAATCTAATATGTCAGATAACATTCTTTATAAATACCTGATTTATTCAACTTTTCATTACTCTCCGACGCAAGTGGGCGTATGGGTTTGCCACACAATTTTCCAATGATACATTGTCCAAAATGAAGGGGATATTTGTAAGTATTTTGACTGTAAAGTTTTCTACTAAGGCTAAGAAAATAAATATGTTTTTTATTATTTTTTTGTTAAATTATTTTTATTACTTTCAGGGAAAAGGGGTCAGACCCATTATTACAGAATATGATCCTGAGAAAAGAACTGCCAGAACAGAACTTGGAGATTTAGTTCTTGTAAAGTAAGTATTAAACCGAAATGTCAATATAAGCAATAATATTACATTAAAAAATTTAATTATTATTATTATTTAATTTATTTTAACAATTCATAATTGTGGAATATTAAATTAATCAAATTAATGGTATCCAGTATGTTAGGTTTCTGAAATTTGATATTTCCATAGTTTTTCACAAGTAAAGAAAATTTAATTATTTTTATCCCCCTAAGTACAGTGGAAACCTGTTTATCCGGACCGTTTGTTAAAATATTTTTTTATAAATTTTTCATATTTCTCAATGTATGTATATTAATTTTTTTTAAATTCATAATTCAATTATGGGACCTTTAATTCATCGTTAAAAATTCTTAAAGGACACCAAATCAAGGCCCTTCTACTAGTCAAACGATTGAAGAGGCCAGCAGTCACGTTTTGTTAAAAATAAATTTAAAAAGGATGTTTCCTATTTTAAAAGACTAGAAATTGTTGTGTTGTGTTGGTCGTATGTTGGCTTCCATTAAAAAGGTTTTTTTTATTATGTATATTTTTATTATGTATTTTTTATGTATAAATTTTTCGAGAAACGTGTCCAGACGTAAACAAAAATAATAATAATAAAAACTATCTATTACTTTAAATGTAACTTGATATATGAATAAGTGTTCACTTTTGTATTTGTGTTTGTTTTCCATTTTTATGACACGATACTAATAAAATCACAAATTTTCGGATTATCCAGACTTTTGATCAACTGGACAAGTACAGGTCTTTTCAAGTCTGGATAAACGGATTTCTAATGTATAACATTTCATTTTTCCATAATATTTTATAGAAAAAATTAAGATAAGTTAATTTCTATTTGAATTACAATAAATTTATTGCCAAATATTAAAAAAAAAATATATATATACCATTGTTGGGGGCATAGGTGGTTGCAATGATTAAGGCGTTGACATGGTGCTCATCACTGTAAGTTAAGGTCCCAGGAGCTTTGCATTCGAACCTGACATACTTACAAATGGGCTTTCTTTTTTTCAAAAACACCAACACCCTGAGGGTTGAAAAAAAATTACCAAATTAAATAAATAGCATTGTTCTCAAAATAACAAGCTAATTACTGTTAAACTTTAATTTAATAATTATTCATTACTACCAGGTACAAATGCCACTCCAATGGTGTGCCAACGTCAATGACCAATGGGTCGACGTTACCACTTGTCTCAGGGACAAACTTATCAGGGAAGGACCCAGAAACTGGTGGCTACAACCCGTTTGAACACCGTAGGCTGCAGCATCCAACGACGTAAGGCACAAATTTTTATTTTAAAACTTCAAAGCCTGAATTTTAGATCAAATGTTTAAAATTTAAGTATGTACAGATTTTTGTTTGAAAATTTCAATTAAATTAGTAGATAGTTATTCAGATATCGTGAGATGCGGTCGGGTGTGATGTAGGTTTCAGAAAAACATTTTCTTTATCGTGCCAATGTTTCGATCTTTTATTGAGATCGAAACGTTGGCACGATAAAGAAAATGTTTTTCTGAAACCTACATCACACCCGACCGCATCTCACGATATCTGAATAACTATCGATTAACGGTCACTAATCTCTACACATAAATTAGTAGAGTTATGAGTATATTTTGATGATGTTATTGTTTGCTTAAGTTTGTTTTAATAATTTACAATCAATGGTCAGATCAGCTATCAAAATTATTCTGATATTTTCCATTTTTTAATTATATTTTTAAATATATTATTGTAATGTATGCACTAACTTTTACTGCATGCCTTGTAATGTTTAACTGTTTTCTTTAGTTCTAAATGAATGATTTCATTTGACTATAGTAGTTATATAATACAGACAATGTTATGGGCTTATTTTTCTAAATACTCTTAATATTTGTATTGTTGACAGTAGTTTGACCAAATTGGGGTTAAACCAAAACACACCTGACTCCAAACTTACAGCAAGGATAAGCAGGATCAGAGGTGATAATTCAATCAAGTTTTTGTCAATGATCTATTGACGAATGGATTGCCCAACATCCATGGATTGTAATGTTAATATGATAGCTGATTTATTACACAGTAATGATTGTTTTATTTTGAACTTACAAGAGCGAGCATTTTACAGGGTTTTGATCAGTCTGGTGTTATGGCAATGTAAAATTTCATTAAAGAAACTGAAATTTTACGACCGACTAAAGCCATAATACGTAAGAACCTTCCAATTTTTTTAAATATGGTTTATTTAAAATTCAAGGCAGTCATAAAATTTAAATATGTTTACAAAATTAAATGCGTTTTAACTGGAGTTGTATTTTTTAGTGATGCAGAAACACTTATTCACTTGCTAAAGGGAAGTCTTGGAACAGGCATCCTGGCGATGCCATTTGCATTCGCCAATGCAGGCCTGTTTTTTGGCCTTGTAGCTACGTGTCTCATTGGCCTAGTTTGCACCTACTGTATTCACATACTGATCAAATGTTCACACAAGCTCTGCAGACGGATGAAAGTTCCTTCTCTCGGATTTGCCGATGTTGCAGAAGTTGCGTTCATGGCGGGACCTCCAGCAGTGAGAAAGTTCTCTACCTTGTCAAGGTTTGTAAATGTGTGATCTATGTTGCTTTGAATCATCATTAGTAATTATAATTATTGTATTATATAGAGCAATCATCAACTTGTTCCTTGTGATCGATCTCATTGGCTGCTGCTGTGTGTATAACTTGTTCGTTGCAAAAAACATTTATGAAGTATGTATTTATTAATCTATGTTTTATCAAATGTTTGAGTTAATTTGTTGGGCTGGTTTAATTACATTTTTTTTTTTTTTGTATTGTAGGTAGCACATGAGTACTTGCCACAGCTTGAACTGAGTCATTGCATCTTTGGACTTCTGCCATTCTTAATTCTAATGAATCTTATAAGGAATCTTAAGTTCCTCGCTCCATTTTCGATGATCGCTAACATACTGATTGGAACAAGTCTTGGGATTATCATGTACTACGTTTTCCAGGATGTTAAACCCATGAACTCTGTCCCAGCCTTTGCGTCTGTTCATACATTACCGATATTTTTTGGCACAGCAATATTCGCCCTTGAAGGAATTGGGGTGGTAAGTGTCACTACAGACTATTTCTATTTATTTTTTTAAGTAGACCTCTGAATTAAAGGAAAAGATGGAATGGAATCCATCTAAAGAGGACTATATAGTTAAGTTGAGCTTGTCAGCTTTTGTTTCCTAGGTGATGCCGTTGGAGAACAACATGAAAACCCCGACTCACTTTATAGGCTGCCCTGGCGTTCTTAACACTGGTATGTCTTTGGTGGTGTTCCTCTATGTATTCGTCGGCTTCTTTGGATATCTACGTTATGGAGAGAGTACCCATGAAATCATCTCTGGGAATCTAGATTCTGATGCGTACGTTTAATCATATTTAAAAAAAATTGTTTAATAATACAAAAAATCTTAACTTTTTTAATACTTTTTAAATTTAGGATTGGTATGGCAACAAGGCTGATGATTGCTGTTGCCATATTCCTGACCTATGCCCTCCAGTTTTATGTTCCTATTGAAATAATTTGGAAAGGTGTGAAACACAGGTTTACTTCCCGACCTGTCCTTGCTGAAAACATCATAAGAATTTTGCTTGTCTTCTTCACTGGTATTTATTTAATTTTTTATTTATTTACTGTTTATGTTAGCTAAAATTAAAACTATTTATTAGGCAGTGTTCAATTGTATGTTTTAAAACTTTGATTGCTTGTTTGAATAAATAAATTGTTTAATTTTTTAAATGGTAGGCCATAGTTAGTGGATTTTCTTAAGCTTTGTAATATCTGCTTTAACTAGATATTGCATGTTACAATATCTTCATTCTTTTTTGTTCTTTTTTTTCAAATTTATCTTCATGTGCTTTATTCAGCTTTATTTTTGCAGTGATTGTAGCTGCATCTGTTCCTAACCTTGGACCTTTGATCTCTCTGGTTGGAGCACTCTGTCTCTCAGTACTTGGTCTCATGTTCCCATCAATCATTGAGATAGTTGTTCTCTGGGATGATGGGTTCGGTAGATTTAACTGGATTCTTTGTAAAAACATTTTGATCATCGCTTTCGGAGTGCTAGGGCTTGTCACCGGAACGATGACCAGCCTTCAGGATATGTTCAAGGCCGTGCAATGATTCTCAGGAAAATGTCGATTCAAAGTCCCTAAAACTTTTTTCATCCATATCTGAACATTCCAATTGTTTAATTTACATCTTGAAAGAGCGTCCCATCAAATTTTTCGTCAGTTGCCATTTTTTATTTTAGAGCTTTAAACTCGGTGAATTATGTTTTTATCAATCTGATTTCTTTTCATTTAAATTGTTAAGATTCACGTGATGTTAAGTCTAGTTGTTTATCATTGAACGACAGTGATTATGGTTTTGTGATATTCTTACATTTAAGATTATTACAACAGTTTAAATTATTTGTTTAATTATTTTAATACTAAGTGAAAAAAGTTAACTAATTGTGTGTGACCAAAAAGTATGTTTAGATTTAAATATTTTTATAGTTTTTCTTTTTTTCTTTTTGTAGTAATTCCATTAATTTTTTTTATTAGAAGAGGTTTAGTCTTATTTAAGTGCTAGCTAAAAATATTTATTGGTACTAAAAATACAGAAAAAATGCCTTGAGTTAGGCCGTGTGATGTAAGTTCAGTTCGGAATCGGTTTTGTGGGACTCGACATTTTTTGCATGTATTTTTTTTTTTTTTTTCAAAAAAGTATACATTTTGTAGTATTGGCATCCTAATTTTTAATTGTATCTACTTTCTATTTTATGTGGTGAATTGAAACTAATTTAGAACAAAATTAGATTAAATCTGTTCCACTTGAAAATCATTTTAAAACTACTATGTCTTTCATATTACATTTATGATAAGGCCAAAATAAATTAATACCGGTTATTTTTAGAAAGGGTTAATTTATCTATTTACTACTTAATAAACAAAACAAAAAGTTTGTACATTTATGTAAGCTAACATATTTTTTCAAGAGGAACATTTTTGAAGTATAAATATAAGTAATCTTTTAAACCAGTGTCTGTGTACATGGTATGATATGTGTACAATTTAGTCAGGTATTTAACAAAAGTATTCACTGTAATCCATAGATAAGTATTATCTTTGCAGAGTACCAAATCTTTTTTCTTTTTTTTCTTTTTTTTTTTTGTGCATCGAGAATTTCTGTCAACTCTTTCAAATCCGTCCATTTCTAAATTATGCAACCTGTTGTTCCATTTCTAAATTATATAAAATGTTAGCAGGTTTGTCCAGTGTGTTTAAGATACCAGTATTTTAACAGGCTATTTCTAATGTGTCAAAAACTAAAAGTTTTCTAGAGTTTACTTTTACATTTAAAGTTTTGTAATGTAAGACTGACTATTTAAATTATTTTAATTTAAAAAAATAAGCATATTTTTATAAAACTGTGACTTTTTCGAAAGATTAAATGATTCTGACATTTACTTTACAATCAGCAAGTTTTCATTTTTTAAAATGTTAATTGAAAAAAAAAACCTCAAAATACTGAATAAAAGTAACAACTTGATACATATAATATCGAACTCACATTGAAAGTAATATTGATTTTATTTAATACCACGAAGTCAAAATTTGTGTTTGTTATTACTAATTTTTTGTACATAAGTTAAAAATTATATATTTATTGTTATTGAATAAAATTAAGAGAAAAAAACTTTTTTTTTTATTTTACATAGAAATAAAATGTCTGTTTGCCACAAGTTTGTTTGTTATTTGACTTTGAAAGTTACATGGATGCCATTGCAACTTTCTCTTTGTCATTCAATAAATACATTTCAAAAACCTCACATATATCCCTCCTGTTTATTCCTATATTAAAAAAATGAATGTTCATTTAAGTTTCTTTGAAAATGGTGTTTACAAACAATAATTGCACATTTATAATTTGCCTGCTGGCAAAGAAAGCACTTACACATTAATTACTGAGAACTTGCTAATTTAATTAACTTGTTCAGCTTAAAAAATAAAATAGTTAACAGCACCAATGCTAAAGGAGAATTCACCATTCAGAATTTACCAAAATTTGTTGATTAATTTCTAAAATAAGGAAACTAAAAAATAATTACTTGTGCATAATTCGATGAATAAATTTATTTCCAAAATATTTTGGTTTTATTTTGTATGCTCTAATTATTGGAAGGTACACAATAAAAGTAATAATATTTTTAGAAGAGAAAATATTTTTTTAATATACAATTTAATTTCAACCCAATAGTATACAATTAATATAACAACTCAGCAATTTTTTAAATATCACTTAGCCATCTCAGAAACAATTTTTGCCTAACCATTAAATAATAACAATGGGATAATGAGAATGAATGTGTGAATAGAATTTATTAGTTAATTGATTTGATTTAATTTAATTTAATTTAATTTAAAATTAATTAGTTAAATGAATGTGTTTATCACCAATTACCCTGAGGAATATCAAATACTCTGGGTAGTGTGCACAAATTCTGGTGTTTGAATATATTTATTAGCGTGAATGGGGGGCATATGGGTATATGCCGTATATGGTAATTGGTTAATTACGCAGAGAGTTCTCTGGGGTAGTGTGTGTGTGTGGGCTAACTAGACTATTATGCTTTTATTTTGTTTCTGTGAATTTGTGTTTATTACTTGGGTTATTTTATCCACAATTGATGAGGTCCTGAGATACAGAGAGGCTAGAAATAGGATAAAGAAAAGAGAGAGTTGATTACTTTTATATAGTAAAAGATCATAACTGGGCCAGAGAGACAAATTAGTAGGTTTAAAATGTGAGAAAGAATATGTAAGGATGGTTTTATATATATAATAACATATACAATACATTTTGACATTTCATCATCTATCAAATGGCCAAAATTTAATCACTCACCAAAATTCTTTCAATTAGCTTTTCATTGCACTGGATTAAACAAAAATTTCAGCAGTTCTCAATAGACAAATTTTTAATAAATTTTTTGTAATCCACTCATAATACCAAAATGTTTATATTAAATTCTAAATTAAAAATAAATAAATTGAAAACTCTTCAAAAAAATCATAAAACTAGCTTATTCACAAAAAGTTAACATTGATCAAAACTTATAAATTAATATACCTAGTGCGTTTTCACATTGAAATTGAACAGCTAATAAATTGTTTCATAACACTAAAAAATTGAATCATATCATATCAAATTGATACACAATATAAATAACTCATTTGTTGCATGGAAAGGTGTCAAGGAAAGTCAGTTGTGTACAGCTGAAGAAATGCATTAAAGAAAAATTAAAAGTTTCATCACACTTGAACCCCTGATGCTCAATAGATTGATCAGACTTGTATTTCATTGTTTAGTCACATTGAAACAAGGCATTTTTTATGTTTTAATTTAGAACTAATAATGTGTACTCGTTTTTTATATGATGTGGATCCATACATTTTCCCCATAGTTTTAGGTAAATGGCTGATTTGTAAATAACACCATTGATTTTTGTTTAAACATTTTTTTATCATATGTGGGCAATATTGAATGATCAATCATCAATATCAATGGCAATATCTTTAAAATAAAAGACAAAATTCATTATTTAAAATCGTACCACACAAGAGGTAAATATTTGTTGATAAATTAGTACAGAAAAAACACAAAAAACATGTAAAATTGAAGAAAAGCAGAGTTAATCTTCATTATAATCCTCATCAGAGATAATCTTTATTGTCAGAATATTGAAGATACAAATTTTTTTAATGTAAATGGAAAATTTAAAGGTTGTTCTAGGGGATTTTATACCTCACCATTATCTTACATTTCGGTTGTATAATGTTCATGGTTTTTGGAATAAGACAAAAGAAGTTAAATAGGTAAAAATTTAAAAAACCCATGACAATTTGTAATGTCCTTATAAAATAAATAATTAGCAATCAAATTTATAGGCAAGGAAGAACAGAATTGTTAATAACAATGCACAACAACTGTAAACACATTACAAAGAAATACAAATGAAAATTAGCTAGATAAAATAAGACAAGAGTAATTTTTAGATATCGCAATTCGGTGTGAAACATTGTTATTCAGCCTTTTATATTTATAATTGAAGTATTTTAAATCCTCTTTGGAATAAATAAATCCTTGTGGTAACAATATATATAAGCGATATAAACATATGGAATAACTGAACACATGTTATGCAATTTTGAAATTAAGCCAGAATTGTTCATTGTTATGCTAGGAATATTAATAGAATGCATTGTGGAAACACACCAATAATCCTAAGTGTTTTGTACCATTTGAAGTTTTCCACAGTTTGTTTAGCAGATATTTCCCCAGACGGGCACAATAGGCTGTATATACATTTCAAACATCAGTTGTTGTTTTTTTAAATTTTTGTTGAGACTAGAATTTTTATTGAAAACCTTTCACAAGCTGCCATCCAAAGTTAAGTTTTGATTATAAGTGCACTCCAAGGTATATTATTTCACCCACGGTATAGAGAAATTTTTCATTTTGATGTGGTTACTTATAGTAGGCCTACAACACGTGAATAGAATTACCTCGGTTTTGGTGTTATTCAGTCTGATTCACCACATTAAAAAATATTTAGAACTTTTTTAAAGTTTTGGTTAGCTCTATACTAATGGTATCCTATAAGATGCCCTTAAATGGATTTAAATTAACAGAAGTAAAGTTGATTTAATTAAAATAACAATTTATCACTAATTTAAAAAGGTGGATAAATAAAATATATAAAGCCAATGATACTGTATAGAGAAAAAAAAACCTGAAGGTAAAGTTGATGACTTAACAATTGTAAAAATAAGTTTATTTAATAAATTGTGTGCTTACATTGTTCTTTAAATATACTAAAATATTGTGAAACGTTTCTTTGTATACATGTTGTAAGGTGATGATGACATAGCACGACTGGCCTGCCCAGCCCTGCTGGTTGTCTGAGAGATGCATTTTATTTGCCATCTGAAACAATCAAGGCCAATAATAAATACTTGCAGTGTATTATATAATTCATAGAATATTCAGCCGTAATTGGTTTTTCTTTCTTTTAATTATATGCGTTATCTTATGTATAATATTGGAAATACGCCGCAGCCGACTGAGAAAATTAGTTTTTTTTTTTCATGGATGCACTTTTAATTTTAGAGAAAAAATTGCTAGAAAGAATTACTTGAGATTTAAAATTATAAATAAAATTAGTATGCGCTTAATGTAGTCTGTTTTTATATTGTCCTTGCTGCTGGCTTTAGCCTCATTTTTTGTTTTGCACAATTAAACTATTTTTTTACAATATTTTTTAAAAAAATATACCTATTCTAATTAATAAGCTAAAGTGCCTAAATATTTGCTTTAAAACTACGAGAATTACAATAAAAGCTTGGTTGGTTCAATAATGAACAGATCTTTCAAAAGAAGCAACTTTTTTATTTAAAAAATAATTAAAAACAAAATAAATATTGGAAAATTATTAATATTTAACTGCTAATTTCTATTGGTTTTAAAATTACAAATTACTTAATTCATTCTATTGGTTTTGGTGATAAATGTTAAAAAATTTAAATAATTAATTTTTTTCTATTGGTTTTTTTTCCTTTTAATTATCTGCAATGTCTTATGTATAATATTTTTATACATTTTCTTTTTCCAACCTACAGTGTAGTGACCCAATAAGAATTTAAAGAAATTGATTTGCTTCAATCCA